TTATTTTCAAAGTGATGGCTTTGGAGTAGAGAACTTCCCTTTAAATTGTGAGTGAGAGCTGCCTCTTCCAGACCTCCGCTGCGCTCTTGGTAGAGGTGCTCCATCTTCCCCCTTTGCACCACATTTCTCAGATCACCACATTATTTCAGAGTCTCTTCTATAAGCGCTGTGCTAGTGACCCCTGCTGTGGCTCTACTTTTAGGGTGCTCCTACACCATGCTAGGAGATTCTCAGTGGCATCTAAATTAAGCTAATTAAATTGTGGTGCACACCTAAGCACATAACTGTTAGCCAAACATATACAGAAGAGGAGTAGTGTGTCTAAGAGGAGTAGTGTGTCATGGTAATATTCACAAGCACGTGATGGAGTGTGAGGCTACTAAACTGAATCTTTGTGCTCCATAAGCTGCTCCTAGGCAAGGGACCATTAGTGCAGCCCACAGATCTACACAGTTTGATAGAGAAGGGTCTAACACAGGGTCAGTTAACCTGTTCAGGACCTTTACGTTTTCACTCTGCCATCATGCAACAATAGTGTACTACAGAATACATTATTTTAGAAAAGCTTTAGGGAGTTTTAATAAAGCTTAGTGCATAAGTCTGGTGGCATATGATGCAACAAAACCAAAACAAAAATATCCTAAAAACGTTGAAACTGATGTTAAAAAGAGTTCATTTTCAATCCAACATTTTATTTCCCACAAGCTGCAAATCACTCAGTACAACAGCCTCCTGTCCCAAGTTTCAATACACCATAACATAGCAAAGCCTAAGCATGGCACTGCCCAATACTAAATGATGCCTGTCCTGAACCTCAGGCCAAGATAATTTTCCAGCAGTGAATTTCTCCAGTTGCAGTCTGATTTAAAATAACATTATTCCCCTTTCCAGATAGGAACATTGATACACAGCAGCTTGAAGTGTATGCTTTCAATGGTACGATATACAGTGTTGTTTCTTTTCCTATTTTTTTATTCAATGTTCTTATCTGACAGCTTTGGCAAAGAAACAGCCGCACAACCCTAAAAGAAGCTCTCAGATGTTTGAGTATTTATACACTATAAAATGAAAGCAATAGTAAAACATAGTTTCTAGCAGTGGAGGAAAATTTAAAACTCACCCATGCTTGCAGGGACTGTATTCCTCCATCTCAGAAGCAGCCCCAAAGGCTGCAGGTCATTACAGTGTGAAGGCATATTCTTACACTGGAGCAGAATCACAATTCTGACTGCAAGGAAAAGAAATTAGAGGAGCTTGCACAAAACAAGGCGGAGAAAGAGACTTGCTTATGAAAAAAGATTTTCACAGGATCTCTGAGAAAAGCAGTAAAAAGATCTTCTACCTGCTACAGGGCCAAAATAAGGGCTTCCTGAGGCTGTTAATGTTGGTAAGCTATAACAGCCTTTGAGAAACTGCACACATTACAAAACAGCTTTTGCAGTGCATGTGATGACATGGGAAATCTAAGGAAAAAAAAAAATTAAAGAAAGGTAACTTTTGTGGCCTAAAATTGCTAAGTGGTAATGTGACCTCTGCAAATACTGATTTAAGAACCCTGTTACAGCAGAAGCAACGTATTTTTAATGAAATGCATACTTTTAACAAAAAAAAGGTAATTTCCAACAAAAAGACATTAATTTAGTATCATTATTTAATTTCTAGCACCATTCTTTCTGGGCTAACACAATCTCAAATATTCTTTTTTTCTGTGAAATTGTATTTGTAGGATAAATCAATACAGTGAAGAATAGAGGAATTTCTGAAAAAAATATGGCGCACACCTCCATTTTTTCATCTTCCTGGGTGTGTGTTGGATTTATCTATTAAAATCGTAGCATCCCCTTGTCTGTGGGGTATTTATGCCTTCAGTCTTCTACCTGAAGAGTCAGTAGGAAATTTAAAAACCCGGTTATATCTTGCAGTGGATAGCCACTGTCTTTGTTGGTCCAGCAGCCTACTCTACCCTCCTCTACATTTTGGAGGAGCAACCAACGACTCCCGTTTTATGGAAGAAGAATTTATGTAGGTCAAACCCTGACATCAAGTGGCCACTGCCATTCATGACATGCTCCCGGTGCCCGGCCATTTGAAACTTGGCTTTAAATGATACGGCTTTAATCTCCAAATAAACTATTTCGGCACTTAAATCAACACATTTATGTGATTTCCATAAGTAAGCATCGGTTGTTTCAGACACTAATTATTTACCAACATGACTTCAGAGACCAAGTCAAATATAAAATATTCTGATAATTATATTTAATGGCATTCAGTACACAACCCTTGAAATATCCTAAAATGCTAAATTATTCAGGAATCCTAATTGTGCAAGCGTATTACCACTGAGTGATAATTCTCTCTATATAAATCTGCATCTGTGCACCCATGCATACTTACATAGATCCTCTTCCTCTTCCCAGTCATTTAGTATTCCTAAACTTGAAGTGAAAAGTGCCCAAGTGCAGGCATCCATTTTGCACAGACCCAACAAGAAAAACAAGGCCCAACAACAGATATTATTTTTGTGTGGAAGAAGAAATGAAGATAAAGTGACTATAATTGAATATAATTCTTCAAAGCTAGGAGCTGAAACTTGGTATTTTTCAAGTGAAACTTGAAGTTAGGTAATTACTTGTAAATATTTGTTACTTGCCTGTTGGCTGGTAATTTTACTACTTATTTTTTTCTTCCTAGTATTGGTAAGCTTGTCTGGTATTCTCAGAGGAGTTTTTGGTCAAAGCCAACAAAGAGTGAAGTTTTGGTACTTATTTTCCTAGAGCTCTGGATGCCTGAATGCAGTGTTTTAATCTAGCCCGCTATCACGCTTGCTGAAAATTTCAGGTTTACACTTCCCTTTCAGGGTGCTTTTTTGAACTAGAACTCTAACACCTGTCTGAAACTCCTGCAAAAATTGCAAGAGATGGATAAGCTTCTGGGCATCTTTTCTTTTCCAAAGACTGATTGATTATTTTAATCAATACATCTCCTAGCTTAGAGTTTCCAAGATGATAACTTCAGAACAGCTCTGAGATCAGCCCTACGTGTCACTGTGCCGGCACTGATCACCTATCAAAGTTAGCATCCTTCATACCATCCTGCTTTTTAAAAAGATACTATTTAAAAAAGAAATGAAAGCTTTCCCATGTTCATAATATGTCTTTCTTTGTCTTTCTGTATACTAGCATCCATAGAAGCTCCTGAGGAGTTGCATTTGTTTGTTTTTTCTCTCTTGGTCTCTCTGGAAGCAACCACAGAATGCAATTGCTGTATCCAGCTGAGTAAAACTGCTTCCTGCTAAGTAAGCCTTGACAGCAATGACTCAACAGATCCTTGTAAAAATAATAATAATAAAAAATTTTTAGTCCTCATTTAGTTCTTTGCACTAAAGGATAAGGACACTTCAGGACGTTGTTTTGACATTGCTTTCTGTGGCCTTGGTTTTATAAGATGCTTGCTTTTAAACAAGGGGCTTAGAATCATCTGGGTTTTCACAGAACATTTCTGTGGATTTCTTTTGACTATAGGGCGTTTACAAGGACAGGAAGAAATAGCTCATTGTCCTATTGGAAAATTTCTGGCAATGTGTCTTTCCTATTTTAAAACAAGTAATTAAAACCAGTACTATCATATGAAAGCATGAATCATTTCATGCATTTTTAAACTTAACATTATGTAAGCTCTTGAAGAGAGCTGGAGAAGAAAGACTACTTTTTTGGTGGATGATAAGATTTATTTCAAGCTCCAGTTTGACCAAAGAAGATAGGCAATGCAATTTATAATTGCTGTGGTTTTTACATCTGCTTGTGAGTTTAACATTCACACAAAAATACTACCTGCGCTGTCAACAAATCTTTTTCAACAGTAATACTTAATTTTGGCTTAAGATCCCTTCACCCTGCTCAGCTGCAAAGCCTGCCTGGGGAAATGTAACTAAGACTCTGCACCTTACAAAGGAACAGGGATGGGACCTACAGTACTGTTCCTCAGCTGCATGTAGCAGAACTGACCGTAGCAAACTACTTATTTTGGGAGGACCGGCAAATGCTATGGACTTCTTTAGCCTTTCTCCACATGGACTCCTTGTACGAGAGCTACCACAGAAAATGCAGCATTGCCCTCTAGCTAAGCAAAGGGCTAATGAAAAGGAGTGGTTTGGGTTGCTCCTGGCACCTCCTGTCTGTTTTTCTGGTAGCTTTTTCTTTCTTCGGAGCAAGACTTCCTGTGTCACTTAAACCGAGATGCCGTTCATACAGAGAGGGTGTCAGGAGCTGGGATAAGCTGTGCCCTGAAGCCTGAGCCTCAGGGTTTGGCTTCCGTATTTTCTGAAGTCTCCTGGCAAACGGAGACTTTCTGCTGTTGCTCCCCATGACCCATTATCTAGGTATTTTGTAGCCAGATTTGATAGGGCATGCCCCTCTGATTTTCAGCTGGATTAAGCAGTAGCTACAGTATCAAAGCTGTATCTTTGCTTTACAAATTTATTTGCGGCTGGAGGCTTTTAACCTGAGGCACGGGGCTCACTTAAGTGCCAGGCTTAACTTGAGGCTCAGCCTTGTACCTGTCTTGAGAACACCAGACCCTGAACTAGTCGCCAATCCTCAAGTACGAGCTTTAAACTAACGATGTCTTACAGATGCCGGCCTGGAGTTGCGACTGTCACTCGGCTTACTACTGGGTTAGTCAACTGAAGCAGGTACATGATCTGGTTACGGATCCCATTAATCGTGCCAGGGCCCTCCCCGCGGCCCTTCCCGCCCCCCCGGGCAGGGACTCCCGCCGTGGCCGGCCTCCTCGGCGCCGCCCCCCCCTCCTCCCCGCCACCGCCGCCCGGCCAGGCCGCAGAGCGCTGGAGGGGCCGGCGCCCCCCGGCCCGGGCGGGGCGAAGACCACAACTCCCGTCATGCCCCACCGGCCGCGCTCCCATCGCGCACCGCGGCAGGAGAGCACCGACCTGATGGAAGCGCTTTTTTTTTTTTTTTTTTTTAATTTCCGTTCAGACCGGGCGGCGGAGCCCTCAGTAACCGGTACCGGCGCAGCGGCGGGGAAACGGCTGCTGCGCCCCGGCCGGAAAGGACCGAGGCGCGTCACTTCCGCTCGCCATTTCGCGCAGCCCCTCCGCCGCCATGACGGACCGCTACACCATCCACAGCCAGCTGGAGCACCTGCAGTCCAAGTACATCGGGACGGGCCACGCCGACACCACCAAGTGGGAGTGGCTGGTGAACCAGCACCGGGACTCGTACTGCTCCTACATGGGCCACTTCGACCTGCTCAACTACTTCGCCATCGCCGAGAACGAGAGCAAGGCGCGCGTCCGCTTCAACCTCATGGAGAAGATGCTGCAGCCCTGCGGGCCGCCCGCCGACAAGCCCGACGAGTCCTAGCCGGCCCCGGGCTCCGGGCCCCGGCCCCGGCCCCGCGGGGCTGGCCTTCGGCCCCCGGGAAGGCCCCGGCGAGCAGGGGGAGCGTTGGCGCCTGCGGCCCTTCGGCCTCGTGGTCCCTCCGCTTTGGCCTGTCGTCCCCTCGGAGGACTCGGGCAGGGAGAAGTCCTGCAAAATGCCCGCTTCTGGACAGCTTCGGCTCTTCTAGCTTGTACAGTCGTTCGGATTTCTTACAGTGGAAAATAATAAAACTTGCTGGGCATTTCTAATGGTTCGTTTGGCAATCTGCTAATAAGAGCTCTTTGTTCTAAAAGGAGTGCCGGTTACTGGGTATTAAGCCTTTCGATGCAACCGTCCGAGGTGCAAGTCTCAGATACTTTACAGATAGCATTTTCCCAGCCGGGCTGATCGGTGCTTCCTTACCAAAACTGTGTTTTGAGGAGAGAGAGGAAGCTTGCTCACACTCAGAGGGTCTCATTTGTTGTTAGCATTGGCTGTGTGTGGTGATTTGTGGTACAGCGTCAGTCAGTTGCTCTAGTACTTTAAAACTCCAAAATGGCTTTTCTTTAAATACCGTTTTCTTGCCTCGTCTTCCTATTTCCTGTACGTTGAGTTTTACAAACCTTGATTCTCTCTGATCCAACTTGGCTACTTTTTTTTTTTACTAATGTTTTCTAGTCATCTAGCAATTAAAATTTTTTCTGCGTTACACTAAAGTGTATGAATGTGCGCTTAGACACTGTTAATATGGAATGGGAACTTAAGGGTTGCTCACGGCTACATTGAAGTAAAATGTGTTGAGGTGACAAAATCTTAGACTGCAAACTGAACTGATGTTGATTTTGAATTGTCACTTAAAATAGGCTTTCTATTCACTTGTCATAGTAAAAAGAAATTCTGAGTGCTGATGAATGGGAAGACCTCAGAGTAAAACTTAGATATGCTGCTTGGAGAAATTAAGCGCTCTCATTTCTGACATGGAGCATTGTAACCGAGTGGGAGGGTTTTTTGGTGTGGGTTTCTTGTTTGGTTGTTGTTTTGGTTTGGTTTGTTTTGTTTTTTTTTACATTGGAGAGGAAAGTTCAGTGTTTTCTGAGCCTATTAAGACTGTATGCAAGCTTACCAATTATTTTTTTCTTAAATCGGTGATCTCAAAACTTTTGAGTGATAAACTTTTCACACTCTTTATCAAGTTTTATAAAACTAAGCTATTCATAATACTGTAATGGAATAAGAAAAAATGTACAAGCTCCTGGGACCACATTCAAGTCAGCACATTCATGTTATGAAGAATTCAAAGACAGCATTTTTCCAGTTCTGCGGCACATACTGAGATGAGGGCATGGGTGAAGTGGTCCTAAATAAATTTTACCTGCAAGTTTTGTGGGGACCTATGGCAATTTCTAATAAATGAGGGAGATTTGTAGAAAACTCCTGGTTTTCACTTTTCATGCAAGCTGGTGCAGGTAATTTGAAGAGCGTATGTTCCTCACATTAACTAATTAAATGCCTGTTCTGGCTATCACTCTGTGGGGATACTCTTTTCCTGCAAAAAAAGATATCTTAAACTGAATATAAGGACTTAGGAACAAGTTATGTGCGGTAAATTAACTGTGAGGACACATCAGCTGCTCTGTAGCTAGTGCCCATTGCATGTCCTTACTTTAGTGTCAAATATGAGGTCTTCTGCCTCTTTCTTTAGAGGCACTTTCCTTGCACTGGGGCATTGTAGGAAAAAAAACAGGGCAGAACCCCCCCCCCCGTCAGGCCGCTGCCCCAAAGAAGTTAGCTACAGTGTCCTGCAAGTTCAAACCCTGATTTCCCTTGCC